ACCTCCACCACCTGGGCAATGTGCACCCTCTCATCTTCCCAGAGAAGCTCCAACGGAGGACCAGCCCCTGGCCCTTGTAGTCAGGGATGCATTTTGGCAGTTAGCGCCTCAGGCTGTTCTCACAAAGGTCTCACTGCACCTCTCAGAGGGCCCCAAGGCACACATTTACCTTCAAAGAGATTTCACTGTGAGACACTAACACTGCTCTGATGGAAACACCTTCCCACCCTCAAACACCATTTTGAACATTTGGTACATAATTCATCTTTCGATGACAAAGTCTGCCACTGGCAAATTTCTAACATAGTAGATTGGGATGGTCTCCTATGGTGAGACAGTACTACTCATGACTTAGTTCCTTCTCCTCTCAATACTGGCTGCATCCAGGGCTCTTCTCTGTCTTTTTTCCATCACAACTATCTCTATCAGAAAAGAGGCAAGACTTGAAATAAACATTTATTTTACCAAGACTGCAGTTTAATGCTCTCTAGTATTAACTTTTAAAACTCTTTGTTAGAGCCAAAAGGCCATATTTTTCCTTAGACTGATTTGCATTATTACTCCTGCCATGGCTGCTGTCACAGCTACCACCTGCTCAGTGCCTGTTACCTGCCAAACACTGTATGGCTCACTTTGCGCTCTTACCACCTACGAGTATGGCCTAGCCCCCGAGAGGTCAAGGGAGCCGAGGTCATACCACAGTAAGAAGTCACCCTGAAACTCTAACTCAGGCATGCATGACTCCAAGGCTTGCTCCAACATCATTTGTGTAACAAATAAGTTATTAAAAAACAAATACACATTCTATCTTTAGAAGCCCACTTCCTGTAAGTGGCCAGAGATTCTGACACGGAGTGGCAGTCAGCAGCCTCCTGTTTTTTATCCACAGCTGGTAATAAAAAGAGTTTCCCTTTCCTACCTGCAGTAGAGTCAACATTCTCCCAGGCAGCTGCTCCACCAAGCACATCATCCACTTCTTTAAGCTTTGGATACTTCCGATTTGTAACCTAACGAACAACAACAGCAAGACTTTCAACTCTCCAGGTCAGTGAACAGAACAGGTCTGGGCCACCGAACCATACCTCCATACATGCCCTCAAGATTGTCTCCCCAGACTTCCTTCCTTCAACACTGACTACAGTGGTACTAACAGCAAACAAGGACGTGCATGACGGGAGAGCCTCCAAGAGGCTGGTGTTGCTGGGACAAAGGAGCACCTTGGTACTTGAAATCAGAGAAGCGAAGCTCAGGGGAAAGGTTCGGTCCTGTGAACCCTTTGGCTTCTACTGAGTGCGTGAGGGAACTGCCGAGGGTTTTTGAGCATGGGATGGTCTCGGGTTGACTTAAAAGTTAACAGGACCACTCTGGCCGCTGTTGTGACCACAGCGTAGGGAGCACATGTGTGAGCCGCCAGCCCAAAGAGAGGTAACGACAATAACCCAGGGTGATGGCGCTGGGAAGTGACACACGGACGGATTCTAGTTAGACTCGAAGGTAGAGCCGAAAGAAGCGGCCGGGAGGGAACGCCAGGATAGAGGCGGACTCTGGGAATGGTGGGCGTGGAGCGCCGGGAGGCCTGTGGGAGGCGCCCGGCCCGACGCCGGGCTCCTGAACGCACCTTGCGGGTAATGTTGTGCACGTAGGGGCAAGTATTGCAGGCAAAACGGTGGCAGCGTTGTCCCTCTTCCACGATGAGCCCATTCCCGCAGCCCGGACAGAAGAGCAGCATGACAGACGACTTGCCCCGCAATTCCCCGCAGTCCCTGCGGCTGTTTGGGTGCACACTCTCCGGCCCGAACTCACCTAGGTCCCGGCCACCGCTCCCGCAGCCCACCAATAGACATGCCGATTCCCCGTTCCCAGCGAGCACTGCGGCAGGCCATCTTGCACTTCTTATTGGTTCTGAGGGAAGCCCCACCCCTCGTTGCTCCTCAGGCGGAACTGCCTGCTGCGTCCCTGGCAGTGCACGCCCAGCGTGGCTCTCGTAGGCTGCCGGTGCCTACAGAGCTCTTCGGACGTCAGGGCGCCCTGGACGAGACGGGGGAGGAGGTGGAGACGGAGGCGGAGACGGAGGCGGAGGCGGCAGCACCGCCGCCTGAGGTGCCGGAGGACGAGGAGGATGAAGAGGAGGCCCTCCCGCACTCCGAGGCGGTGGACGTGTTCCAGGAAGGTCTAGCCATGGTGGTGCAGGACCCACTCCTCTGCGACCTACCGATCCAGGTGCGCCTGGGCAAGGGACCGGGGTCGTTCCCCGTTGAGCTATGCGTAGGTTCTGATGAGGACAGCGGCCCAGAGACCTCAGTAAGGCACCTCTGGGTGTAAACGAGAGTCTTAAATAGGGCCGGGCCTAGGATGGGACGGCGAGACTCGCCTTGGGCACGGAATTTAAAACGGCGGCAAAAAACCCAGTTGTGAGAATACCTGACATCTTAACACATAGGTTTGTAGCACAAAGTTGGTGTAAAAAAGCCTATAGCAAACAGAATGATAAAGACAAGTCATTATTACTGGGTTTTCCCTTCTCAGTCTTCAGTATTAGTTTGTCCATCATGGAGTTTTAGAATTAAACTACTATTTTCTTCACCTGCTGCAACCTTGTCCCGAGGCCCAAGCCCGGATCCTGGTTGGTGGTCAGGGGCTCCCAGACTGAGCTGACGAGCAGGGTTCTTTCTCCTGCCCATCCCCTGGTGAGAGGATCTAGGGATGGTCATTCTTCTTGCGTGTTTCTACGTTCCTTTATTCCAAGCCTCTGTCCACTTTGGACTTTAAATAGAAAATGTGGTGGAGCGTGAGACTAAGGTGCCGAAAATATGGGAAGCTCTAATGTATAAGTGAGAATCCCTTCACTTTCTTGTCCTTCCTAAAATATGGCACCACTTTTTGGACACTATCAGCTTGTTTTTCTCTGTTGTTGTTGGGGGTGGTAAAGAGAACCAGGGCTCCCACCTCCACCCTTGCTCTTTTCTAGGTTACTTTGGAAGAGGTCAACTCCCAAATAGCCCTGGAATATGGCCAAGCAATGACAGTGCGAGTGTGCAAGATGGATGGGGAAGTCATGCGTAAGTGCTGCCCATCTCCCTTCAGGCCATGCAGGCTGAGCTTTCACAGGGGCTGGTCGGCGGGATGCCAAGAGGCCATGCCCAGGGGGTTGGGGGCAACCACAAGCCCTCCCTGCCCGAACTTGAGCCTCAGTCAGAAACAAGGCTTGTCGGGTCTTCTGGGCTCCTCTCCTGCCACCCGAGGCTGTGGCTGTGAGATATTCTCCCATCTGTCCCTTGTTGCAGCTGTGGTTGTAGTACAGAACGCCACAGTCCTGGATCTGAAGAAGGCCATCCAGAGATATGTGCAGCTCAGGCAGGAGCGTGAAGGGGGCATTCAGCACATCAGCTGGTGAGTGAGGAGGTGTGGCTCCTTGTGACCCTTCCCTGGAGTTGGTGTAGGACTCCACAGATACCCCTGCCGGACATGTGCTTTTAACTGCCTGGTCTCCACTACAAGTACTGACAAGTAACTAGCTCCCTGTCACCATCCTCCGGATCCTTCAGACAGGGCAGTGCTTCTGCGCCCAGGGGTCATGCACCTGAGCCCTTCTCACACCCAGCCCCCACATCCCAGCTGCCCCACTGCCTCTGTTTGAGGTTTACCTGAATCCCTATCTTGCAGGTCCTATGTGTGGAGGACGTACCACCTAACTTCTGCAGGAGAAAAGCTCACAGAAGACAGGAAGAAGCTCCGAGAGTAAGTTCAGGCCATATCTTGAGCTGCAGGGAAGCATGTGGACTATGCCCTCTGGTTTCACGTGCTCTGCCAGAGGGCTGAGCCCTCCCAGCAGGCCCTTCGGTCAGTTCCTGGGAATTTGAGACCAGGAGAGTCCCTGGCTAGACCATGTCCTGCTGGGGGCTCTCCCTATTGGGAGAACGGGATGCAGAGGAGCAGTGAGGGGCGTACTGTTTCTTACCAGTGGCAGTTCAGGGCTACTCGGAGCCCGGAAGAGAGGAGAAAGAGTGCTTGGTGGTGAAAGGCTGCCTGCTGGCACAGTGCGAGTCTGTGGGAGGGTGGACACTGCCCCTCCTTGCCTTCCTGGACAGCACACTCTCCCCACTGTTCTTTCTTGGTTTCTCACAAGCCTCAGGTGAGGCGTCATGGACCTAACCATCTGTAGATTGGATACTTGACATTTTCCCTTCTCTTTCAGTTATGGTATCCGGAATCGGGATGAGGTGTCCTTCATCAAAAAACTAAGGCAAAAATGAACCTCCCAGCAGGACAACTGGGTGCTGGTGGCCGGGCCTCTCCCCAGCAGGAGGAAGCCTTGGGTCACTGTCCCCTATCCACAGAAGAGGTAGACTCGCCAGCTGCGCACAGCTGGAACTGCCAGAGTGAACTCCGGGCCCTCGGGAATAGGACCAGGTGAGCCCGTGCTCAAGACCTGAACTTGACCCCTCCCTGACCCAAACACCATAATTTCACGGTGGATCCCACAGGAGTGAGGGCATGGCCTCATGTACAGAATAAATCTCTCTGCCACTTAGAAAAGTCAAAAAGCCACAGTACCAGGGTACGGGGGCCCGGCACAGCCCCCATCTCAGGGGAGGCAAGGGGCAGAGAATGGTGCAGGTGAGTCCTAAAGGCCTAAGACACCACGCCAGCCTGTGGCTGTGATCTCTACAGTAGACAGGAAATAAAGCAGGCAACCGGCTTTCTGTTTCTGCTTGTGGAGAAGCAAGAGCACAGCCACACACAGGGTCCGTCTGCCTCAGTGCCCTCCCCCTGGCTCCTGGGATGGGTGCCAGCCTGGTGCTGAAGCAGCAGCTGCTGGTTGGGCTGATGGGGCCACTTCTAAGCATGGAGGGGGGACATGTGACAGCTTACCCATGGGTCTGTGTCTATGGCTATCGGTCACTCTAAGGAAGGGGAGCAGGTGGGTCCACCTGGCTTAGGGACTTCACTGGGGAGAGGTGCTTAGACACTTTCCATCAGAAAGGAGGAGACCGCTCAGGTCAAGTTGGTGGCAGCTAAAACGCTCCCAGTCCATTTATTGGCCACATGAGGTGGTCGTCAGGAGACTAGTTAGAAAGTAATCACAGGAACTAGTGTAATAAATGCCCAGAAGTACAAGAGGTTCAACAGCAGTGAACAAGGCACAAGAGGTCTGTGTCCAGGAAACAGGCAGGACGCCCACAGGGCTTGCTTGACAAGGCCCCCTGGCCTGTGAGGCTCGGGGCGGGTGGCCCACCTGGCCCTGGCCCGCTGCCGGCCTATGGCCCCACCACCCCCAGCTCAGTGGAGCTGGGCATCCAGCTCGTACTTCTCACAGAACTTGTCGGTGAAGGGGATGCAGGTGAGGAACTCGCACCACTCACAGCGCACAGGGTAGAAGTAGAAGAGGACCACCAGGCCGGCCAGGAGGCCCAGGAAGACCACCTGGAAGATGATGATCTGGCAGCGTTTGCGGTACAGGTCGAACCTGCCGAAGCTGATGTAGGGCAGGAAGGCAAAGGAGAGGAAGAGGCCGCTGACGAAGCCGGAGATGTGCGCAAAGTTGTCGATCCAGGGCAGCAGCCCGAAGGCGAAGAGGAAGAGGACCACCGCCAGCAGCTTGAAGAAGGCACGCCAGGGCCGAGCCAGAATCTGCCAGCTCTGAAAGAGCTCCACGAAGAGGCACGCCAGGATGCCGAACTGCGAGCCGGCCGGGCCCACCTGTGCAGGCAGCAGGGGTGCTGAGCAGGGGCCTGGACCACAGCCGTCCCGCCTCTCGTGGCCCAGAGCACAGCAGGATGGAGGGGCCAAATGGAGATGCTCCCAGGCTGGAACCCCGGGGCAGCCTTACCTCTGCCCGGTATGGCAGGAATATGGCACTGGCTAGGTTACCAGTGACGCCACTCAGCAGGTAGATAATGGCTATGCGGTGCCAGCCCGCTAGCTTTTCCAGGTCCCTCAGCACAGTCATCTGGAAGCAGACGGACACCAGGCAGTGCAGGATGCTGTGAGGTGGGGGGGCAGCACTCAGCAGGGAGGGCCGCCCCCTTGCCAGCCACTCCTGGGGTCCCTGAGACCACCCGACCCTGCTCAGCCCGTAAGGTGTCACTTGCCCAGCGTGCAGGAAGAGGGACAGCCAGAGGCGGTAGAACTGGTCGGGCACCTCGGGGTTGAGGAAGGGCAGGAGCCCGCACACATCGTCCATGCAGTGCACCTGCGCAGAGTGGCCTGTCAGCACCTGCCCTGGGGAGCAGGGCGGGGCGGGGTGTGTACCCCGACGCCTACCTGAGAGCAGAGTGTGGCCTCCTCGTGGAAGTAGCCCCTCATGAAGTCACAGTACTCCCGGGAGGTGATCTCGCACCTGGAGGGTCGAGTCAGGGTGGGGAAGCCTTGGAGAGGGGGACAGCCGGAGCCCAGGGGCAGAGGCCCCTGATTGTACCACCCATGCCCAGGTCCCAGCCCCTCTCACCCCACGCTCTCACTATCTCGTGTGATTCCGGGCCCCGCTCTGCGCGCAGGCACACCCACCTGCCCTTGGTGCCAATGCAGCAGGGCCGGCCCGTGATGACGCAGTCCATGTGGGGGTGGTTGGTGTGGTTCCCCGCGCTGTTTTTGGTGCATATCTGGGTCACAAACGGGGTGAGTTGGGTAGGGGCTTCCCCCAACCCTGGGCCCACACTGTGCTTTTGGGGTTGGGGCAAAGGTGGACAGGCTCCTACAGTAGAAAATAGGCCTTGACTTTGAGCAAGCTACTGCATCCTAAGCCTCAGTTTTCCCATCTGTTAAGTTGAAATCATGTCATTTGACCTCCCAAGTCTCTATGTGGTTCTGGCTACATGTTTAGAGAGGCAGGTGTTGGTGGAAGAATTGGCTAGGCCAAGACCAAGGGCATTACATCCAAAGACAGGGTGGTCCCACAATGGGAACCTCCTGGCCTATTAAATGGTTGAGGTGTGGACTCCTCCCCCATGTGATAAAGGTGACTCCGCAGCCCCAGCAGTCTACTATCCCAGCTCACCGGCCACTTGGTGATGTCATCCGGCCACTCATGGGGGTCCTCCGAGGAGGGCTCATCACACACCCTGCATGAGCCCAGGAGGCGGTTAGACCCTGCTTTGTGCCCTTGCCACCCTTCCACCTAACCCCACAGGGAGCAGCTACGCCCTCTCCCCACTGCTCAGGGAGGTAGGGACAGGCCAGGAGGACTGACCTGGGGTCCTGGTGACAGACAGAACCAAACTGCCGCTTGTGGCCAGCGAGGTCCGGGACGCTGGGATGGAAAGGCCACTTCACCCACACGGCCAGCGTGGACTGTGGGAGACAGGGCCGGCCTCAGAGCCTCCCCTCAGCCAGCACGGTCTCCAGAAGGCAGGAGTCAAAAGCCAAACATCAAGATCCTTCTGAGCCCACAACCCAAAATCTATCCATTTACACAGTGGAAATGTGAGTGTGTGGGGGGAGTCTGTTACAAGCTCAAGAACATAATTCATATTAGCATAAAATTAAAAACCACCTGTGCCCAAAGTTAGGGCCCAGTATAAATGCTGGCACCTCCTCATAAAATGAGGTAATAAAACTTTGATGAATCTTGTTCTTTCATAGTTGTTTAGCAAAAAAAATAAGGCAATACCACTTCCGTAAACTTAAGCCATGCACAAAAACAAGACACAGGAAGAGCACGCCCTAGTCCGAGACGTCACACGACTCCCTGATGGTGTCTGTGGGGCCGGACGGAGGGGTTGGGGGTGGAAAGCGGTGACCATTAGCAAGGGTCATCGTGCGATGGGAAAGTGCACTGTGTCATGATCCGGGGGAAAGGACAATTCAACCAGCGCCACCCGGAGTCGCAACGTGGCCACAACCACACAGTGCAGAGCTCCCGGTCACGCGCTGCGGGCAGGGGCACACACCGAGCATTCCTCCGCCGACGTCTGCACGCAGCCCGACCGGTCATTGCGCACACAGCAGGCGGAGTGCTTCTCCCGCTCCCGCGCAGCCAGGATGAAACTGTGCACCTGTGGGTCCTGGCGCATGCAGGGCGAGAACTTGGCGCCCAGGTGAATGAGAGCCTCCTACAGGGGGCGGAATGTGCAGCTGAAGCCCCAGTCAGCTGCCAGCCCAGAGTCCTTGCCCACCTAGCCTCCTGGCTCCTCCCTCACCGAGCTGGGCCCGATCCAGAAGTTCTCTTGCTGCACGTACTTGACATTCTCATAGACCCCACGGTTCCGCAGCACCTGGGAAGTCGAGGGGAAAAGATCAGAAGGAGCCCACTCAGGCTGTCTTCTTCCAGAGTGGGCAGGAGGGCGTCCCAAGCCCAGACTTCACTGGTCTAGGCCCAGAGAGGGCCCCGGGGCTCACCGAGTCCACAGTCTCATGCTGCGAGAAGCCCACAGGTGCGATGCCGTAGATGCACACGGCCAGAATGGTGACCAGTGAGTGCACGAAGGTGAGCCAGTAGGTGAAGAAGGGCCTGCGGGCGGAGCGTCAGCAGAGGTGGGGAAGGTGGCATCTCCAACGGGAAGCGCCCACCATAGAGTCTTGCCAGCCATAAGCCAGCCGCCCCCCCCCCCCCGTGCCTACCTGTGGTCGTCCATGTCCTCAATCTGGCGTTTGACATAGCTGTCGATCCGCTTGCGGTAGGTGCGGTTGGTTAGCCGGCCCACCATGCCCAGCCCATAAGGCCTCTTCTCCCGGGCAAAGAACCTGCGCACCGGCATAGCGATGCGCTGGCCCCTCCGCTGCCCCGCCGTGCTCACCACCTCCTGACGCAGCCGCACCCTGGGCTGCAGGGCCACGGGGCCACCCTCCTTCTGCTTCCGCCAGCCGCGTTCCAGGGGCCTGGGGGGAAGAGGCACAGTGGGCTCCCACACCAGACCCCCGTCCTGCTGCAGTCTGGCCCAGGCATGCCCCGGGCAACCTTCTGTCCCTGTCTTGCTCCCATGTAGTGGTGAAGACTGTGCACCCTCCTCCTTATAGGTAAAGAGCAATCCTGAGCCCCTCTGAAGATGGCAGGAAGGTGGGACCAGATCTATGACAGTTCCCTGGCCTCCCCGCTAAATTCTGTCTAGCTGGGGGCTCTGGGACTTCACTTCTGTTCCACAGGTGAGCAGCTGAGATGCAAACGGAGCCCAGCCCTGGGTCGTCCAGCCACAGTAGCTAAGGGGACCCCTTCCCTCAGCCCTCCAGGGCATCCTGCCCGGGCCCCACTGCTCCTGACCTCCGCCCCCAACCCCGACTGCCCGCCCCCTCACACCGCTCCCACGCACAGCATCAGGTGGCTGCGCTCCAGCTCCGTGCGGTCCAGGGCCCCCCCTGTCATGTCCGCCTGGTCTGGGGCTTTCTCCCAGTCCTTGAGCGCTGCCTCTGATGGGGACTCGAACACCTCATCTGGATATGTGGACAGCTCCTCGTGGAGGACACCTTCCTGAGCAAATACGCACGGTCAGGGCGGGACACGTAGGTGGGGGGGCGGTCCAGGGGAACACCCCTGAGCTCTTACCCGGGCAAAGAAGGACGTGTCCAGCTCGTCAGGGAAGTCAGCTGTGTCCTCCTCCAGGAAGCTGGCAGGGGTGAAGCTTCGGCGCTGCACCCGGCGCAACGTGCCGTCCCTAACAGAGCGGCCCTGCCAGCGAGGGGTGAGCATGTGGCATGCTACCAGGTCAGCCCCGTCCCCTGCCCAGCCCCTGTACCCACCTTCACCAGCGCTGCAGCTGCCCGGAAGCTCATCTTGGCCACAGACTCACGCTTGCGCCGCCGTGGGAGCCGGTTGAAACCCGAGCGGGAGCTGGAGAAGGAGCAGAGGGAGGCAGCGCCCGGAGTGACGGGCGTGTGCGGGGTACTCAGGCCATCGGCGGTGTCATCCGCCATGCGGAAGGCCCGGCCCCGGGCCAGGGGGTCTATGATCTGGCGGAGGGGAGGAGACGCAGGAGTCGGGGGGCTGGGTCATCACCCCAAAGGCTCCTTCCCCACCCCAGCCCCACTGTGGAGAACACAGCTGCTGCTCCCCCCACACTCCGTGGGTGCCTGGACAGCTGCGGGTACCCCCCACCCCACTGCACCCAGAGGGGTCCCTCTCCCCCCTGTAGTGCCTTCACACTGCTCTTCGCCCTCCCTGAGATGCTCTCCCACCCAGAGCTGGCCCCACTGTACAATCCCAGCAACCTGTCCCATCCCCCAAGCCTCCCTTCCCAGAAAGTATCTCAGGTGTCTTTACGGGACCATCCAACCACGGTTCCAGACCAGGAGCTTCAAGGAAACTCTTCTGCTCAGGTTGGTGGTGCCCCCAGCCCCAGCCCAGGGGAGCAGAGTGAGTGGCCTTTGGGAGGCAGCGGGGGGCAGGCACACCTTTTGCATGCCCAGCTGGCATGGTCCAACATAGAGTGGCGGGGGCGTCTCCGTGCTGGTCAGTGACGCATTGTCCTGGCTGGGCAGGTCTAGCTCCCGGATGACCTGCGGCTTCAGCTTCCCATAGCGCTGGCTGCAGTGACGAATGCTCTTGCGCTGCCACTTCTGGGTGCTGTCACTGTCCTTGCTCACTCCGAACCAGTCAGCTGTGCCCCTACCATGAGAGGGACTCAACACGGGGAAGCAGATCTCTCCCCTCCCCAGCGGGGGCCTCACAGGACCCCGCCTAGGCAGCATGCTTCCCCCCAGGCTTCTGTCACTCCAGGGTCTGGGGTCCAGCTGAGCTGGGTCCAGTGAAGAGGATGAGTGGGTCTCAGCCTGGCTGCCCCCTAAACAATTAGCCAACTCCAAGTTCCACTAGAGCCACAGATAATAGGCCTTGTCCAGGTGAGTATCTTACCCAGGCCCACACCCCACCCCTGAGAAGGGGTTCTGTGAGGAGACACTGCATCCAGAGATGGTGCTCAGAGCTCCGCCCTTAGGTCATCCAGGGAGAGCTGAGCCCTGGGCAGCAGCTTGACCTTGGACACCACAGGACTCGAGCAACGGGCACTGCAAGCCCAGGCAGGTTGCCCACAGCCCTTGGACATGCAAACAAAAACACCACCAGCACCTGCCAGTAGGAGCCCCAGGGAACGCAAACCAGGCTGCCAGCTCCCAAGAGGCCCCAAGCCATGCACACAGCAGCTGATGCTAACACACTCACACCCTGCCCACAGTACCTGAGCAGGGACCGGGAGAGAGACCGGCGCTGTGGGAGGGCCCTGCGGGCAGCAGGGGAGCCCAAGAGGGGCAGAGTGTGGACGCGCCCAAAGCGCACCTGCCGGCTGTTCAGGAGCCAGAGCATTGGGGTGGGGGAGACAGAGAAGGAGAGAGCAAGTGCTGGGGGCAGTGGAGAAGGGCGGTAGGTGAGAGGAGTCAGTCCCCGGAGCAGGAGGAGGCAAGGGTGACACAGGGAATGAGACTGAGGAGACGGCGAGACAGGAGGGGCCCCTGCCCCATTCCCAGCCTCACTACCGGAAGGGGGCCCGTGTGCCTGCCTCGGTCCCCCAGCCCCCAGCCCCCAGCCCCCGACCCATGGAGCAGCCCAGGCGCAGTGCCGTACCTGCGGATGGTCTGTGTGATGGATGCCTGGCGCTGCAGCACCGGCCGGCGGGGCTCGTGGTAAGGCGAAGGGATGTGGGCTGTCTCAGCCGGCATACTCACACTCCGCAAGAAAGCCTGGCGTCTCAGGGGCTGGGCAATGGGGTCGTGGTGAGGGGGCTGGACAGGAAGCACCCACAGCCCATGCTGGCCAGGGCCTACCTGCAGGAAGCTGGGTTCCTCTGCCACAGGGGGCACCACAGCCGGAATGTCCAGCTTCAGCCAGGGTGGCTTCTTGCGCTGCAGGCTGCTGGTGCTGTCCCTGCGGGCCTCGCTCATGGTTCCGGGTGCGGCAGTGCGGGCCTGGGGGCGGGTGTGATTCACTTACATGCTGACAGATGCCCGAAGTCCCCTGGGCTGACCCAGGAGAAAGGAGATGCGGTGATAGCCCTAACGGCGGTGGTCCCAGCTCCCGCGGCCGAAGCTCAGGAGCTCAACACGGACCAGCATTGTCCCCACCACGTTCGTCCCGACACTCATGGCTGGGCCCACACCAGGCCTCCAGATGATGTAAATTTACATGACAGATGTCAGAGCAGCTACTGGGAGCCACTCCTCAATGCTTGGAACACAGGTGCAGAAACAGAGAAACCAAAACCAGACGAATCCCTGCCCTCCTGGAGCTAACAGTCCAAACACACAATAACCTGTAAGTCGGCAGATAACGCTGTGTTAGAAGATGTGAGGCGTGATAGGCACAAAGCCGGCACATGGCTGTTGCCAGGGGCAGTGATGCCTGCCTGCGAGGTGACATCTGAGCACAGGCTCGAAGGAAGAGATCAAGTTAGCAAGGCTGGGGCCGGAGGGTTGCTCCTGGCACCGGAATGGCCAGAGCAGAAGTCTGGGGAGCATGGCCCAGGCAGGCTGAGGAGCTCACTGTGGCCTGCACACAGGGCAAGACTCAGCCCGCACCCTCTTAGCCACCATGCCATCTGCCCCAGACACAGAGGGCCCCTACGTCCCCAACTGGGGTGTGTGAAGGCTCCCGTGTCACAGAGGAGTGGCCACATGGTATCCCAGGGTCTGAGAGCTGCTGCTGCAACAGCGCCTCCTGAAACCCGCCTGGGCGCAGATGCTGTCGTGACCACCAGAGGGAGCCATGCACCTAGAAAGAGCAGCAGAGCAGCTCAGCAGCCGCAGTGCTGCCCATCCAGCCCCAAAGCTAAGCATCTGAGACCCAATCCCAAATCTATCCCTTACGCACAGAGTAAGGGCCCAGGACCCAGAGCAGAGAGGGAGGCCAGGGTTTGACTTGGGCCACCGCTGCCTGGTCATGGCACTGTGAGGCAAAGGTCATGTGACCATAGTTTACTTGGCATTCCGTTTCCCTCCTTAGGAAGCATCACTTTCAGCCCAGGTCTGGATCCCCCTTCCCAAAGAAGGGCCACAAAGGACCTGAAAACAGGACCCAAGGATTGGGAGGTTTCCCTGACCACAGTGGGGGCACAGATACCACAGGAGTGGCCAACCAATACTCAGGGCAGAGACCCCAAAATTCCTCAGCCTCCTTGAAAGAGATTCAGATCCTGACAGGCCCGTAACCCACCTACCGACACCCCAGAAACAGCTTCCACTTCTGAGCCTCCCTCCCAGCTGCTCGGAGTAAATACAGAGAGGGCCCCTCCCCTACCTTAGAAATAAGGCAACTGAGGCCTGGAGAGCAGAGGCTTGACTTGCCTGAAGTCACACATTCAAGGTAGCATAACTGAGGACAGGCCTGGGACACTTCTGGCGGCTCCTACTGCTCTTACGGTCCTACTGCTCTTACGGGCCCTGGGAAGGGCCAGGACCCGGCTCCGGAGACTCCGGCTCTGCCCTGGCCTGGGACTACCGCCCGAGGAAGGTGTCTGCTCCTGCTCCGACACAGCCCAGGGAGGGCACAGAGTGCTGGACAGAGCTCCTCCTGCCCCTATGCAAACCAGGGACAGGCCCGGGACGGTTCTCACAGCTACCACCGGGACTATATAGACCAAAAACAGCCCTGGATGCAGCACACAGCTCCTCCTGACCCTCTGCTGACTGAGGGCCAGGCCAGGCTGCGGCCAGCATCCCCTACTGGCCTTACACCAAACAGGACGCACCACCGAGTGCTGCGCACAGCCCCTCCAGGCTCTACGATGACCAGGGCCAGGGCCAGGGCACTGCTCACAGATCCTATTACCCCTGCAGTGACACTACTCATCACTTATACTCCGCCTGGCCCTACACCAATAGGGACCATCCCCAGGCCCTGCTCACAGCTCCCACTTGCGCTACACCAATCAGGAACAGGCTCCGTGGGAAGGAGTCCTTCAGGGATGCCTTCTCCCAGCTCTTACTCCATCCCTCATGGTCCTGCCTCTGCTCTGAGCCAACTGTGCACCCAGGGGTCTCTCCATTCAGGTAGCCCCCTCGGAGCCAAGCCCCTGTCCCCTCCCTTCTGGTGTGATCTCAGGATGAGGGCTGAAGGCAGCATTTGCACGTACATCACCGGGAATCCCTTCTGGGCGCCTACCCAGGCCGATCCCCATAACGTGGGGTCCGACAAAGGGGTCCCTGCAGAGGGGTAAAGGCAGAGAGGTCTGGTGGGGGGCAGTGAGCAACATGAATCCTCCTGAAAATGGGTCTCCCAGGGGCCTGAACCAGGAGAGCAGCCCTCGTCCAGCTCACGTCACAAGCCCAACCCAGGCCCGTGTGCTCCCTGGTGCGCTCAGCACCCCAGCCCTCCCCTCACAGATCATGTGGCCATTAAGACCCCCCTGCTGGTAAGGAAGTGACTGGGAAGGGCAGCCTTGGGCCTCAGGCTCTAGTGGTGGAATTTCAGCCGGCACCGGGCACGTTGGGGACACAGCCGGTGATCAGACAGGGGCGCCCAGAACCTGCAGTGCTGTGACAGCACCCCATATGCCCTCCAAGCCACGGTCAAGCCACGCCTGCCAGGCGGTGATCCAGGCCACCTGCCCCCCGAGACTGTGCCGGACCCTGTGGGGCCTTATGGGTGAGAAACCAGACGGGATGGGAACCCCCTTAGCGTTTCAGATGGGGCGGCCATGTGGCCTGCGGCCCGTGCCTGCCAACCAGCCACCCGGTGCCCGTGTAGCCTCGGTGTTCTCGCCTGAGAAGCAAGCCAGTGCTTCTGGTGGAGTCACTGTGAGGTCCTGAGAGGTACAGGGCCCAGAGTGGCACCTGGGGCCACTGCCGGGAATCTGCAGCCTGGAGGCTGGGGGCCAGCCTCTCCACGCGCCTCCCCCTGCACGCCCAGCACGCCTAGGTGATATTAGCTGGTTGCCGCACAGCAGTACAAGGAATCTCTGCCAGCTGATGGGTCGGCTCCCCCACCACACACATACATGACTTTCCAGGGCTCCCACTGCCACCCCGACCCCTGGCTCTCCTGACCCCTGGTTCCTCCCATCCCAGGGCCTTGCCCCTGCACATGCATACTGCCCGACCTCAGTCAGGCTCCTGGCCCTGGATCTGCTAGCACAGCTCAGGAGGTCACCCACGTGTGTGCTACCTGTCACTGCCAGGCCCACCATGCTCCAGAGCCACTGCCAGGGAGACACCGGCCACTTTGGAGCACAGGCTAGCAGATCCTCAGTCCCCATGATCTGGGTAATGGGAGATTCCTGAAAATGACCCTTCAGTTGGGTCTGGAGGAGGAGCCGACAACTGTGTGATCACGTCGGGCAGGAACAGCACACACAAGGAGGAGGGTGGTCAGCATGCATGGGCAGCCGGGCAGCCCCCAGCCTCCGCAGGCCCTGGCCCGCGGTCTGTCCAGGAACACAGGGCCACGCAGCCCTGTGTTCCTGTGTTTGGAGCAGAGGCAGGAGGGAGCTCTGTAGCCCATGCAGCTCCGGGGCACCCAGCCTGCCCTCCCCCTGTGTACCCAGTTCCCCGTCTGGGCCTCAAGTGGGTGGGATTCATGAGGAAGGCTCCACACCAGCACCCAAGGGTGTGGGGGAGGGGCAGTCCCAGGCAGGACAAAGAGTCTGGACTGGGGAGGGTGCAGTGCCTGTCCAGCAGACACAGTGGCTCAGTGTCCAGGCCTCCCCTGGGCGTACAGTGGGCTCTTGTTCCCAGACAGCCCCTCATGGTGGAAATCCCAACGGCATCTCCCCTCTGCTGACCCCTGGGTGCAGGCAGAAACCACAGCCCGACTGCCCAGGGTCACACAGCATCTGAGTCACTCTGGCAACATCCGTGGCTGCCCACCCAGGGCCCAGCCCATCGGGAGACTCCCAAAGGAGCATCTGGAAGTAAAGTGAGAATTGCTGACAAAGCAAATGCCAAGGGTGGGGACCCAGACCAGCAGGGGGACACAAAATGACACTGCTCCCCAGGTGTTTGAACAGCTCAGGACGAGGGGCAAGGTCAGCTGAGGCTGGGAAAGAGGGCCCCACAGAGTCACGGGACCCCTGGGGCTGCTTTAAGCGGCAGTGAGAGGGGTGGGAGCTGCTGCAGCCATCAGGGCGAAGGGCTGGGGGGCGCAGGGGGAGGGTCCCACTCTGGGGTTGACTGAGGACACTTCAGGCCAGAACTGCACAAGGGTGCGGAGGGGCTGGGACGCAGGAGCCAGGGTAGGGAGGCCAGGGGCCCCAGCGGCTCCTGCCGCCTGCCGCACAGTAGGCTGACGCGGCCTGCAGGCTCTGGGGAGCAGCCCAAGCAAGGTAGCCAAGGAAGGGCAGCGAGCCCGGGGGTAAGAGGGCCCAAGTGTGTGTGTCGTGAGCAGGGGCCGTGGGGGATACTAGGGACAGAACCCTTCACTGATGCCCTGCCTGGGAAGTTGGGCCAAGAGTCAGGAGGAGGCCGGGGAGGAGTCCTGGCCTGCCTGGGCCTGGCCAGCGGCCACGGCTGGTGCGAAGCGGGATCCCCAGGTGTGAGCAGAGCCACCACTGCGCCCAGGCCTCCCGCACACTTGGAGGACCACACTGGCAGGGGTAGCCAGAGGCCAAGTGGACGGCCCGGCCCCAGGACTGGGCCTGCCAAGCATGGGCTCCCTGCCCTGCCCAGCCCAGAGGACCGCCCACCACTGAGGTCAGCTGGAGCATGGGCCCCACCCCAGGACGCTTGCCCCAACGTGTCCCCAGCTCACCTGAGCATGGTCCCAGAAGCCAGCTCCTCCAACCTCCCCACTAGAGCCCTGATCTCTGGCCCTCAGTCTTCTGTTTGACCCCTAATCTAAAACCCAACCCACGTCTCCCGTGGGAGAGGGGATCACCAGCTGTCTGGCAGCCCAGAATCCAGTCCTTCTCCACCACACACTGCTGGATGGTAAAGCGGAAGTCACCTGTCTGGGTTTCCTAGCCTCACCTGCAAATGGCATTATACTGGGAGGGATACAGGCCAGGCCCGCCAGGCCCTCAACCCCCATCAACCCCCCTCAACCCCCCCAGACCCCCCTCAACCCTCAGAGGGAAGCTGGGCAGATCTGACACCTGGCCAATGACCTGCATGGTGCCCTCTGCCCATCAGGTCACATCAAATCCCTGCCTCCATGTCACACACTATGGCCGAGGCGCCTGCAGAGGGCCTATAACAGAAGACAAGGCCTTCCTGCTGGAGGAGGCCCCGCGGGCGCGGGGACCTGACCTGGGAGGGCGGCACACGGGGCGGGAAAGGGAGCGCAGAGTGGGAGGCACTGCCCAAAGTCCCGGCAGGCGCCTGAGGGTCACCAACGGCCAGAACTAAAGCCCCTAACCCCGCTGGGCCTGACAGAGCAGACGCACCCCGAGGCGTGGGAGCCCCAAGGCGACCTGCCCGTGCCACAGTCAGCGAGGGGTCGGGGCAGGGACTTAGCTACAGCCGATTGTGGGGGCGACAATCTGGAGTCTAGCTGCACCTCAGGAGCTAGGGAGTAGCAGCCCCTCAAACTGCAGAGGGAAGAAGCCCATATCCTACCAACATGCCTGGGCACCAGGCAGAGGCCCCCCCACCCCCCGCCCCCGAGTGCCCCTAACTGACTCCGCATACGTACTGCTGGTACCCGGATACCCTCGGGGCTTAGCAATGCCCTCCTAGGACACAGCGTCCGCTGGACAGTGCTGGAGAGGCCCCGAGGGGAATTCGGCTCCCTGCTGTCTGCTATCAGAGCAGACGTGGCTGCAGTCATCGTAACCCCGACACACCTGCCGAACTCTCACAAGCCTTGGGGGAGCTTCTCTGCACCCATCTTGCAGATGAGGAATCAGGCTCAGGGAGGCCAGTCACTGCCTGAGGTCACTGAGTCTCCAAGGGGATTGAAAGCCTTGGGCCATGTCTTTCCGGAGCTGAGGTGAAAGGGACCCAGGTGCCTGCCTAGCTGGCCCTGGCCACCGCCCCCAAGGTAAGGGGCAGGCCCCTGGGCTCCTCAGGCTGTGGAGGGCTGCTGGGCCCCTCTGGACCCTGCCTTCACCCTCTCCAACCCAGAGCATTTCGGTTCAGGGAGAGGAAGTCACCCTCAAACACGTCCAGCCCAGAAAATAGGCAGAAGCCGAGGAATCCGATCCTTGGACAGAAAGTCGATCCTGTCACAGACGCCAGGGTGGGGAAACCGGAGCCGGTATCGAGGAGCCCCTCACATCCGGGGAGGGCAGCAGTGGGGGTGGGGGTGCCGCCCCGAGCAGAGCAGCGGTTGGAGCTGAGAAGACCCTAAGAGGGCCCTGAAAGGCAAGGGAGACCTGGGTGATTCCCTCTGAACTAAGGGTGCCCCTCGAATGGGAGCTCCCAAAGGCGGGGGTCTGCCTGGCCGGCACAGCGACGCTGAGTGAGGGGTACTGGACACAGCAGCGCCCCAGCTCTGCTGCCCTGGGTCGTCGGTGTGTGCAGCGGGAGGCGGCTCAGCCAATGGAGGCTGCTTAAAGGGGCTACGCCTTTGATCTGGGGCCACTTGACTCCTGTGCCCCCTATTAGCTCCTGTCCAGTTCTCAGGCAAAAGGACCCAGATTGCCCAGAATGACTCCTGGTGGCAGGGGGCTCGGCCTCAGGAGCCCCTCCCGCCCCAGCCAACTACTTGGTTCCCTAGGTTTCTCCCAGTCTCTGGGTGGGGGCTAGGGGGCTAAAGCTGGTTCCATGGGGGTGGGGAGTGCCCAGCATCGAACTGAGCCAAACCTGAAAAGCCAGTTTCATCCTTGAATCTTCTCTGCCAGGAAGTCCCAAGGTGCGGGTTGTGGGGGGGCGGGGGGGGGGGCGTCTTTCATAGCATAGAGCAGGGGCTCCAGACTGGGGACTCCCTGCCCATCCCCCAACTCGGACCCACATTCACGCCCCAGCAGGAGACAGCCAGCCCTCACACCCCCACCCCCCCACCACCCCCCCACCCCGCCCTGAGCAGCTGGGGTCCCTCCATCCCCCCCGGCCGAGAGAAGGCCTATTTCAAGGCGCCCTGCGGTGGCCTCCTGCTCAGCCCCGGCCTGCTCTCTTGACCGCGGAGCCCCGGGCAGGGGACTGTGTTTGGGAGTACTCCCGGAGCCCCGCAGTGTCAGCGATTACAGGTGGGGGAGAGAGGGGTCCACCTCCACCCCCCCAGCGCGACAGCGACTGCTGTAAGTGCTGATATGATCCCCATCCCCAGGGAGTGCAGCTGGGACGGCGATGATCCCAAGAAGTTCCACCGTCTGAGCCCTAGGAGACACCACCCGCCGGCGGTGACCGGGAAGGAGAACCTAAGCGGGGAGGGCACAGCTCGGGAGCTTGGAGACAACCCCGGACTCGGAGTCCTCTCGCTCCCAGGACCCTCGGCTGCTGGGCGGGGGGGTTGGAGCCGAGCTGTCCGGCCTGGTCAAGCCCGCAGGGACATGCTAATCCAGCCACGGGCTATTTTTGCGGCGCGCCGGGGTTGGAATCCGGGGTTGGGCCGCCTCCGCGGGCGGCTCGGGAAAATCCAGTAGGGAAAGTTCGGGCGCCTCGGGTTGGGAATGGCCCGAACCCCGGATCCTGACCCGACCTGGACCCCAAACCCGACCCGGCTCCGGCCGCCGCCACCGGCTCCGGCCACGGTGTGCTGAGGACCGGCCCCGAGCGCAGCGGACGCAGCCCCGGAACCCGCCCCGCCCGCGGCGCCCCGTGCCTTCCCGGCGGGCGCGCTCACTCACCGCCGCCACCGCCAGCACCCGGGGTCCTCCGGGCTCCCGAGGGCCTCCAGGAGGGGCTGCCACTGCCGGCCGGGAGGGCTCCCGCGCCGAGTCCCCGCCCGCGAGCGAGCCCGCCCGCCCGTCCGTCCGGCCCGCCCGCCCGCCGGGAATGCCGGGGTGAGAGGGGCGTGCGCGCCGGGGGCGGGCCGGGCCGGAGGGGGCGGCCGCACTGACTCAGGGCTCAGGAATGCGCGGCCCGCCCGGCCCGAGTCACCTCCTCCGGGAAGGCGACTGAGCTCCGCTCTCCCCAGAGTCCAGCAGCGGGGACACCTGTGGCTGGAGGGTCGCGAGAGCCGCAGCTGAGGAGAGACGACCTGGTGGCCCAGCTGGACGCAACCCGGTGGTCCGCTACAGACCCGCGCTCCTCAGCCTCTCCCTGACCGGTGACTCCTGACCCTTCTCTGCTTTGACTTGTGCTTGACAAAGTGGACGTGCGGGTGGGAGAGTGTCTCTGGATGTCCTGTAAGCCGAACCACCAACCTCCCCCAAAGGCCCACACTGACAGATCACTTCCCTGCGCTTCCCCAGGCCCACAGGAGCGCTCACACTTTATCTGCACTCATACACACGTGCTCCTACATTGAAGCACTTGCACACACTCACACCTTCATTCACACACAGCCGTTCACGCAGGCTTACATACACCACCTACTCATACACACAATCACACACTTTTGTGCCCAGTCTCACACGTTTACACATGTGCACATACCACAATTATGCACTTCCATTTGTGAGTTTACACACCCACGCACCCTCACACTCACTAAAGGCAGGATCAGAGCAGTTACCCACCCCTGGAAACCCTGCTCCCCCAACAGGCACTCCTGGGCCAGCCTGAGCCTGCGGCCCCTAGGCCTTGGGAGCAGAGGCGGCAGTGCAGTGTCGGGCGCTCTGTGCTCTTCCCCCTTGCAGAGCTCGCAGGCAGCCCCTGGTGGGCTCATCCCTGCACTCTCCCAGTCGGACATAACATGGCTCATCTGTCCCTAGGGGGGGTTGGGGCTGAGGCTGAGGCTGAGGCTGAGGCTGCTCGTGGGAGTTTCCCAGCATTCCTTGCTCCTGACATTGAAGGAGTCTGTGAGGCCCAGCCACCCAGGGATAGACAAGGGGAAACGGGGAGGGGTGCCAATCGCAGGGTGCAAGCAGGAGCTGCGAGTGGTGGAGAGGCCTGAGCCTCCCTTGCATAGTTGATACAATGGTCTCCCGTTCTTCCAGAGGAAAACTGGGCTGCCCTGACCAGTGTGGCTCAGTTGGTTAGGCACCTTCCCACAAGCAAAAAGTCGCTGGTTTGATTCCCAGTCAGGGCACAGGCCTGGATTGCAGGCTCAGTCCCCAGTTGGGGTGCAATTAGAATAGGTGCGAGAGATAACTGATTGATGTTTCTCTCACACATCAATGTTTCTCTCCCTGTCTTTATCCCTCCCTTCTCTTCTCTAAATAAATAAATAAATAATTTTTTTTTAAAGAACTGGGACCACAGGTCTCCTAAGGACCCTTCCACCAGATGTCAGAATACCTTGGGCACATGAGGCCCAGCCCCTGGAGCTTAGGAGGGCCCACAGATGAGTCCTCAGGCCCTTCGCTGGTCGGAGATGAGGTGGCCCTCTCCCTCTCTGAGCGGAGTGGCTGCTGTGGCTGGCACGCCATGCCCAATGTCTGGCTGCAGAAAACAACCTGGTCCACGGCTACACAGAAAATAAAGTTGACGATGCAAGGTAGCAGCCAACTTACAGGCTGGCCCAGAGCCTGGACCAGGGACAGAATCTTCTGGCTGTATCCCCACCCACACCTTGGAATAAAGAGGTGCCTGCATTTTCTAAGTTGTCCGTGGAATACCAACTTGATCCTTAGGCACAGGGACACAATCAAAGCTTCCAAGGGGCTAGAAGGGACTCCTTCACTAGTGGAGGGGGTGACTATAAGTGCATTAGGGACACAAGGCAAGAGGGCAGTTGCCCGGTGCTGATGTCCAGGGCTCCTGCAGGCCACACATACCAACCTTCCCATGCCAGGCTCTCAGCCAGACAGGACAGTCTCTCCATGCCCGGCATTCCTGACCCCTGCCAAGGATAAGCAGGCCCTGCCCACCTGGATACCCAGGCTAGACTGACAGGGCCTGCAGCAGTGTCCTCTCTGGAGCCAAGGCCCAGGCTCCCTGCCAAAGTATGCCATGGCTGGGCAGCCAGTACTGGCAGGGCCTTCCTGGACTGGACGCTTGGACCTGCGCTGTGACCCAGACATCCGTTCGCAGCTGCCGGGATCACCAGCCACAGCTGGCTCACAGCAGAGAACCCCCTGAGCAGTCAGTCACCTTCAGCGGACAGGAGCTGCCTTGTCCAAAATTATGTTTCTGTAGAAGGTGTTATACGTGTCCAGGGACAGGTAAGTGGCTCCCCCCTCGTTCGGATTACCTCCGAAGGGTCCAAGCTCCAGTGGGATCCACAGTAATGTCTCTTGCAAGCCCTTGCTCCTCACAGGTGTTGCTCCCAAGGCATGCAGACCCAGGAATCCCAGGTTCTCTGCCCACCCTGGCCTCCTGAGCAAGGACTCTGGCATCAGAAGGATGGTGTGAGCAGAGAAGGGTCAGCACGTGTGCACTCAGGCCTGGACCCAGCCCACACGGACACATGTGTGCACACACGTGCCCTGCCTCAAGTCTGCCCTACTGTCCTGTGCCCTGGTGGAGAAGCCCTGCATGAAAACCCCACCCCAGTGCTTCTGTTCCCTCCTCACCCAGCCCTGGGGACTGGAAGTCCGCTGAAACTGCCTGCGTATGGGGGCGACCGAGGACGGGTGAGAGTCTGGACCGTCCCCCTGGATGTGCACTCTCTCTAGGACCTGAGGGGTTGGGAGTGCTGACCAGTCGGAGTCCCTGCCAACCACTCTGGAATCCTCAGCTCAGCAGGCCGGTCTCTAGGCTTGGAGGGCCTGGATGACCCCAGGATCAGCCCCTGGCAATTTGGGGAGGTGGCCAAAATGGGCCAGGCCAGCCAGGGGCCTGAACAGCACTGGCTATTTCTGCTGTCCCTCTCCAGGGGATGGCAGGGGGCCCGGGGAGCACCTCGGCCCAGGGCCCAGCTGCAATGGCAGCGCAGCCCCAGAAAGGGAGGATGCAGCCCCCACACACCTTCTCCAGTGGCCAGCTCTGCCCAAGGAGATGCTGACAACACCCCTCTACCTGTCAACTCTCCCTTTGAGGGTGTCAGCTGTCCCTATGTCCCTACCTTAGAGAGGACACTGAGCCAGTGCTGGGGCTGGAGCTCTGGCCTCTGAGAGCAGCTGTCCTTTCTCTCAAGTCTTTGGTGACTGATGGCTGCTCCAAAGGCCATAAGGTGGCCCAATAGGACACAGAGCAGCTGGCCCCAGCGTGGATCCTTTTGAAAGTATGGAGGGTGTCCTCACCTCCATCTTCCGCTGATATCCACCAACATGCCTCTTCCAGCCCGCCACAGGGCACACTGGGGGCAGAGAAGGCCCCAGGCCCCTCCTCCCACCTAGCACCACCTTCTCTCACTCCCAGCCAGCCTGCCCTTCAGGCCACAGTGGGAATGCTTAACCCACCACTTCCAGCCTGCGGTGGGGCCTCAGACCACAAACCAGGAAGTGGGGGGTGGGAGGGGGGAGCCCTCCTTGCAGAGGTTGCGCAAGCCCCTGCCAGAACATCTGGAGAAGTGGGTTGCTGGCCATGGCCCTGCCTCCTCCTCCTGGGGCCAGGGCTGCTCTCTTTTCTCATCCTCAAGACTGGGATAAAACTCCCCTCTGGGAATGTGCGAATTCCCATGATTTCTATCAGGACCATGCACCACTTGTGAAATAAGTAAAAATTAATGCAGAACAGCACCCATCCTGCCCCTGCCCTCACCAGGGGCACGAAGCCTGACTGGGGCCTCAGTTTCCCTCCCAAAGTGAGGGAGAGGGGAAGGGAGGAGGGAAGAGGACTGGGCACACAAGAAAGCTGGAAGCGGGACTCATTGTTTAGGCAGAATGGCTGCAGAGCTTGAGGAGGAAAAGAAAGAAAGTGGTGGGAGTCACATCCAGGCCTGCCCAATAAGCATGGGTTCATGACGCATTGCCCACCCCCGGAAGCAGCATTAGTGCCACAAACTGCTGGGTGGCTTCCAGCAGGATGGAAGGCTGCTGCCCCTCCCTCCCCAGGAAGTCCTGGTTGGGGCCTGGGATGGGGGTGGGAGGCTGGAGGGCTGGAGTTCAGCCCCTGGGCTGGTCAGAGGAGGAGCAGTTGGAGAGCAGGGTCCTTCCAGCTGGACTTGCCCTGAGACCAGGTGCCATGCGTATCTGAGGGCCCCCTTCACGTGACCCCTCCAGTGGCCCCATCTGACACCATCCTATGCCCAGTTCTCTCCCAGGCCCTGCAAGTTCCCCGCCCAGGGCCAGGGTTTACCCAGACAGGAGTAGGTTATACAGGGAGTGAGGCTGTGCCTGCAACAGCAGAGGGCTGCAGACCCAGAACCACCCCGGAGTGTGGAGTGGAGCGGGGCTCTGATGAGTGTTAGGAGCTACCAGTGGGCCTTCGTTCCCCAAAGCAGCCCTGTGCCTGAACAGCAACAACTACCCACGGTGCTTCCTTCCTCTGAGCCAGGCACTGCCCTACCCAGATTTCCCTTCCCTTCCTCCCAGGCACAAATCCGACTTGCAAAATTATGGGAAGAGTGTGCAGTTGGTGCTGGGTGTGGGAAGGGGCTCAGAGGTGGAGGGCAGCAGTGTTCCCCACTCTATCCCTAGCTACTGCTAAGCAAGGCTGCATCCACTGGTCCGCTCAGATCCCCACAGCCCTAGTCCATGCCTCAGCCTCGTGGGGAGGCTGGCCATGCTTCAGCAGGCCCACTCCAGGACAGGGACAGACTCCCCTCAGCATCTTAGGGGTGGGACAGATGGGGGCTCCACTGCTGAGACAGAATCCCCAACTGCCTGTGAAGGCCCGGCGACAGCTTCCCAGACATAGCCTTTCCGGCCCACTCCCGGCCCAGCGCATCCTCTCCACCCAAATGACTCCCTCTGAAGTCCAGGAAGTCGTGCCCCAAGGACCAGGTCTCCCTCCACCTCCCTCACATGACCTCCACGTGGACCCCGCTGTCTGCAGGC